AAATAGCGGCGGCAACGCTTGTCGGTCGTTTTCAGCGAATGTCGGTGATTTTAAAGTAATTTTGAGTGATAAATATATTTTTTTGCGATCACTGCACTTGCCAGGCAGGCAAATGCAATGAAATTTGTACTCTCCCGACAGTAAAAACTACTTGCCCCGGGCGATCGGGCAATGGTTAACATCGAGCCCTGTATGACTTCTAATAATTTACACGTTATATTATTCTACTGTCCTAAAGTCTTAAAGGTACACTATGCAACCAATGTTGATTTTCCAGCGAGGCTCCCCCCAGAGGGCGAAAATAAAAGTGCACTGTCGTAAATATGCACAGCTGTTCTCCTGGTTTCTCCGTCAAGCCAGGCACGGTTGTTTTAAGCTTAGCAGACAGGCAAACGCAACGAATGATCTGACGTGCGTGACGCGCCGCAAACGCGCCGCAAACGCGTTGCTGCTTGAGATGGAAAAATTGAATTTTTGCTGCTCGACGCGCCGCGTCAACCAATCAGAGAAGCTGATCTGGGAGCTGGCCGTGAGACAGACACAGCGCTGATGATCAGAGCGCTATGATCATTCCTTTAAAACAGTTTATTGACGCCTAAATTAACTTAAAATGCAGAAATCTGCCGGCAGAATATGTTGGCTTTTATTATCCTGCTGCCTGCAGTTTGGATTATTTAGATGAAAAACACGTACCAGCTGCCGTGGTGAACCGCGAGGAGGCGACCTGGCCAGAGGCTGCTGATGAAGGGATTCCTACTGTCGGCGCACCGCTGGTATGTGGGGGTCTGAGCGGCTCCGACAGAAAAAATATTGTAAGGCAGGATGATAATCTGAATGAACTGACGGCACTGATTACGTTTTCAGGTATATTTTCTCACTTAAAAACATATTAAAACTACTTTATTCCCACTGATCACAGCAAATATAGCTGCAAGGCAGAGAAAGGATAGTGAAGCTCCGCCCAACGCGCCTCAGACACACTTTTGCACCGCGCAGCCAGAGCAGCAAAGCTGCTTCAGCCGCGTATCAGAACTAACTGGTACAAGCAGTAAAAATGAAGCAGCAGACGCGATTTTGCTGCTTTTGCTGCGTCCGGTGTGAAAGCAGCGCTGCACAAAGATCGCCACTGTGCTAGCAACGAGAATGCTTTTAACTGGGGGGTGTAGCAGTTCTCGCCGTAAAGCAAGACCGACTCTCGTGAGACTTCTGAGCCTGTGGGTGCGGGTCGGTGCTCCTGCAGTTGCAAGTGCGGTATTTCCCCCACAGACCACCAGGGCGGCCGAGAATACCTTTGTTCAACCTGAAATGACTCATTTAATCATCCAAAACGTTATGGAACACATTAATTAACTGAAAAATGTTGCATAGTGTGCCTTTAAATTACATTCAAAATCACACAAAACTTTCCAAAAACAGAGATTAACAGAGAGAAAAACAGAAAAACAGAGATTTCAAATAGCCTGTCTATAGAACATGCCTACAGTAAATTACAATGCATAATTTTATTTATTTTAAAATAAGCAACAAATAGGGCAAAACCGTTCATGCATCCTAAAGTCAGTACTTTGTAGATTTATCTTTTGCAGCAATTATGATTTTCTTTGGATAAGGATCTATGAGCTTTCAGTATTATACCAGTGGGATTGTTGCCCACACCTAAAAGAAGAATCGCCTCAGTGATTTCAAGATTTCAAGTCTAACCACAGATCCTTATTTGCATTAAGGTCTTGACTTTGACTAGACCATTTTAGTTTATTTAAATGTTTATTTAAATGATTCCCCTTAAAACAAATAAACAGTTGGTTATTGTCCTGCTGGAAGGTTAACCTCCGTAATAATTTCAAACAACGGACAGAATATCCCAGTTTTTAAAACAATACCTTTAAATCTGTTCAAATTTTCAGTCTGTGCTGACACTTTCTTGCAACACTTCTTTCCTAAATACAGTTTGGGCGTTCCCCCTTGCCTTCTGACAAACTCACAACATGCCATGTTACTTTTTAACAATGAGGCACTAGAGAGAGAATTAGATGGAACCGCAAAGATATCCATATGGATACACGACTAAATATTGTTAAAGGAGAGGATAAAGGATTTTTTAAACCAGAGTGAATAAATCATAGAACCCCTGTTTCTTGTTTAGGTGTGTACATAACACTTTTTTTTTTAAACACTGACCTTACAGCCTGATTTTAACATGTGACCCGCATGTGCCTCTTTACCACCTTGTTGCTGAGTTTATATCATATGAGTCGTCTGCGCATGCCCAGAGTTTTTCTCAGTGGTTTGGGTGTGATCCTGCTGCAGTGTCACAGCACCACCTAAGAGCCCAGCATATGTACTACAGCACTGTTATTGGTGCAACGTAGGCCTTAGTAATGGCCTTTTTCTGGCCACTCTTCCATAAAGACCATTTAAGTTACATGTATCTCTCATTTTTTAGCCGCGCACAGATCCTTCAGTCCCTAATGTGGAACTCAGTAGCCCTTTAAGGGTTACTTTTGGCTCTGATTAATGCTCTCCTTGTCTATTATTGGAGCTTTGGTGGTCGGTTGGAAAGTACTAGAGCAAGTGTGGCTCTGATACTTTCCATTTGCAGATTATTCTTGATCAGAGGTGGATAATCCAGCTCCAGATAACAAAAAACCCACAGCTTGAAATCAGAACCACTGGGATCCAAGCGCCAAACCCTAACCACTGCCATCTATCTGTCTGTCTGTCTGTGTATCATGATCTTGGCACTGATGACTGGTTTAATGGTTCGTTCCCTTCACCTGTTTTGCTCTGTCCATTCTCTAATCAATGTACATCTTATCCACCTGCTCCTATCTGTATTTAAGCTTTTGCTCCCACTCATGAGCACCGAATTATCCAAGTCTTCATTGAGAGTTCTCTATCATCCCTTTTGTTCTTCTGATTTCCTGATCTTGACCAGTTCTGCCCTCAGACCTTTGAGCCTACTTTTTCCTGTGTCGGATCTGTTTGCCTGACTTGTCTTAGGAACCTGGATGTGTCTCCTGACTTGACTTGGATTCCCCCCCTCCCATACCTTTCCAGATCTCTTTGATCTTCTGGTCTGGGCTTTGTTAACCTCTTTGACACTGGCTTGGACTTCATCTTCTGTAAACTCCTGCCTTCCTTTGTCTGCTTGGATCTGCTCGTCAGCCAATTCAGCAGTCTTCAGGCTCCGCCTCCTGGAATTCTCTGTGCGGCGTTCGTCGTGTTAGCCATCCAGCAGGATTCTTTTCTACTATATTTTTGTCTGGGCACAGACTGAACTGTACAACCAAGTAATCGCCCTCCGTCAGATTTACATGGTCATTAACCTGAGTTTTCCCTCTACAAAGATTCCAGCCTTTGACGCTTTGTTATAACACTAATCTGTCTGCTTCAAATTTTGGGTCCTCACTTCACATCTTTCTGTCTGTCTGTCTGTCTGTATATCCCTCCGTTCATCCGTCCGTCCATCCATCTTCTCTCTTTTTTTATCTGTTTATTCATTCATATTTCACTATTCTGTGAAGATCCATCAAATAAAAGCTTAGAAGTTTAGCAGTTTCGATTTTTTTATTCAATGATTGGAGGTAACAAATGAAAGAAAATGAAGCACAATTTACATTTTCACTAACTACTAATTTCCACAAAATACAAGGCTGCTAACAGATTTGATTGAGTCACTTGAAGAGCTCTTACAAACAATGCAAAGCACTTCTGCCAGAACATCTGCAGAAACAATCTGGGTCACAGTACATCACATTTAGTGCTCGAGTGCCACTACAAATATTGAGACACTTTACAAGACGGTAACAAAAGCATTAGTTATAATAAAACTGAAGAGATGAATAGAACAGGGAAAATCTGATAAAAATTTTATGAACCGATTTTTAAAGTCTGTGTTCTTAGTTTAAATGCTGTAATTTAAATTCTTGATTTGAAAAAAAAGGAGATGATTCTTTATTGGTAATGCATTCCTATAATCAGAATCAGAATTTAAAAGCATTAATATTATTGATCACTCACAGCCTTCTGCTCTACCTCCTATTTTGAACATTGATGATGATAACAGAATAGTTACTAAACTTGTACTCAGTTGTCCCTGTTCCATTCATCAGTATTTATTTGAACATCTAAACAAAAATATTAGATCTACTTTTTGGCACTTTTTTCACTATTTTATACCTCAACTGACCAAACAACGATGCAAAAGCGACTCCAGTCCCTCACAGTGTTTATTGTCTCTGCTTGACTGGTGAATCCTTTTTTTAAAGACAGTTTCATACTAGCAAAAATGCTAATTTAAGCAAACTAAACAAAACAAACAAACAAACAAACAAACAAACAAACAAACAGAGCTGCATTAAATAAGTTACAGAAAACAACATTTTGACATCATAAATAACCAATGCATGACCTACTCTATTTATACCTACATTTAACCCATGTTTACGCCTGCATACAGTGCCTTGCAAAAAAAATTCTAAATTTAGTCACATAAAACAACATAATGCAAGAAGTCCTGTTTAATGACTACAAAAAAAATAAAAAAAAAAAACCAGCAAACCTGAGCAGGATGGTGTCTTGGTTGAAAGGTTTCGGCCGACATGCAAAACTGCTTTTCAGAAAACTTTCACAAAAATATCAACCTGAAATCCCCATCCCTTCAACGCCGCATAGTGGTAGAGGTATCATGCTGTGGGTTATAAAATGCAATTCTGCAAACTGTTAAGTTACTTTGTAAAGCATGTATCCTTTCTTACACAAATGCGACCCTCTTTATGTTGGTCCATCCCATAAATTCCAAATGAAATTGTTTTTTGGTTAAAACGTGACAAACTCGGACTAGGTTCAAATGAATACCTCTGCAAGGCTTATTGTCTAAATGTGACATGTACAAACACATCTCCCCTGAGGCATGTGACTCATATTTAAAGAAAGCATGCACTGAATGTTATACTTTTAGTGTCAATGGACGCCTAACCAAAGTACTTGCTGCACAAAGAGATTGTGGAGGTATAGGTTTTAATGAGATTTAGGATCTTATATTTTATTGAAATATTAGGAGTAAAGCAGTCCCTGAGAGGAGTTTTCTGTTACAGTCACCAATAGTCTGAGGTCAGACACCGACAGAAGTGGGCTGCACACTGTATGACTCTGCACTTATCATGAATACATTGCATTTTTCTTTAAAATGTAACATTTATACAGACATCAGTACAGTGCAGCCATGACAGCAGGCTATATATTTATATACAGTACTTTCCCCATCAGTGAGCAGCTTAGAAATGTGATCCTCAAATCTTTCAAATGTGCTCTGTAAAATGTTGAAACACCTTGTTCAAGACTACTTTACCTTTTTTTAGATAATTTTTTAGATAATAAATATTACTTGGAAGTGTTTACCTTGTAAGCTTGCTGAATGGTCGTGAGAATTTACAAAGTCCTGAAAATGCATCTTGCCAGAAGCCGATAGATGCATTCGCCTTCATGCAGAAATGAACCAATGAAATGCAGTGACACATATGTCAGCCAGAAGCGGTGGGCTGAAGCAGAACAAAGGTGGCTACGCCGATGGTCGAACCTGTAGACTTCGCTATTCAGTCTGTTTTAGCTGGAATATCATCTATTACTTTTTTTTATGAGCCTGTTTGAATGGGAAAGATGTCCCAGATTTGGTAAGAGTTTGGTTTACTGTGGTTAAGTCCACAAGTTGTGAAACAAATCATAATTGTGATACGCCACCGCTGCTACTGCTGCTGAGATTGGCTAAAAACTCGACATGGAAAGCAAGTCCTATTTGGTGATTCACCCAATCAGCTCAAAGAATTGCACTGAACGTCCCTCCCTTTTGCAAACACTTTCCACAGGAGCCTTTTCATTTTAATCTGGCTTAAGCCCTGTTAGCAAAATGAAAGGATCCGAACAAAGACAGGAAGTACCTTTTATGGGTTTGGGATGCAGTCAGCCGGACCCAATTTTGATCAAACTTAATTGTCTTTCTGAGCTCTAAAGTTTTGTAACACTGACAAACCGGATATAAACTTCTTCAGTGCCTCTGTTTCAAAACAGAACAGCTCATATCTGCTTTGCATCAGTAAACTCTGGATTATTGAGGCCACTGGTTACAAATCATAAGCCCTTAGAATGACTTCTTTATTAAATTACCTACAGCAGATCATGTCTGCTCAGGCTGAAGACGCTACACTGGTCCTGGTGAAATGACCAGTGAAGCTGCACAGAGGAATTCAGTCCTTGAGCTGACCCAATGTGTGCGCATGTGCTTTCTAATGACTAATCCAAATATTACTGAGCTTTTCTTTGCCGTCTTTTATTCAGCAGGATGCAGCTTCTTCCTCTTTTTTTCTCTAGCAAATTAATTTACAATATAAAAAAGCTGTACATCTTTTTTGTCAGGCTGCAGATACAAGCACTCATCATTCTGACTAGATGACGGTGACTCTGTAGTTCGGGTCGTTTGTCGTGCTGGAGCCGTCGGTTTTGACCACAGTGGCCTTGGACGAGTGCTGCGAGCTGTACAGGACGTTCCGCCGGCAGAGGCGCTCGCGGTAATTCTGGGCAAAGATGAGCAGCATTAGCGGGTTGATGCAGCTGTGCGAGTAGCTGAGGCAGATGCTGATGTTGTAGGCGTAGACAAAGGCGATGGTGGGCGGGTTGTTGCTCAGGTTGATCACCTGGATGACGTGGTAAGGTGACCAGCAGATCAGGAACAAGGCGATGACCATCAGCACCATCTTGGTGGCCCTCTTCGCCCACACCGACTGCTTCCGCTTGACGCGGCGGATGGAGCTGAACACGTGGTAAAGGGTGAGAGAGTAGAAGGTGCTGATGATGATGAGCGGAATAATGAAGCCCAGGATGGACTGGTAGAGAGTGTACCAGTACATGTCCTCGGGTCCGTCCAGGTTCATCATGCACACCTTCATGTGCAGCCTGTGGACCACCGTGGCGTAAATCATGACTGGGACGGTAAGGAGGAAGCTTCCCAGCCACACAAGCATGTTGATTACGATGGTCCACTGCACGGTCCTCCTCTCTGAGCTGGGATGCACAATAGCGATGTACCTGGCAGGAAAAAAATCAACTTTTTACAACCAAAAATAGATCATAGTAACTGAATAAAGTACATTTTTGAACAAATGGCATAGCAAAGGAGGTCATGCTGTTAAGAAACAGTGATAATGAGTTAAGTGCCCTTTGAGAATTTTTTTCTTGCGAGACAAAGAGTAGTGTTTGCAGATGTCTAACACATTTTTGCAAAGAAATGTAATTCAACCAAAAGAACAGAGGAGCCATTTAAGTGCCCCAAATTATATACATCCAGCTGCCTTTTAATTTCAGGGTGCCATCTTTGTTCCAATTTTCTATGACAACAATCTTGCAATTTCTATGGAACACTTTCTACGGCAGTGTTAATAGGTTAGAATAAAAAGGAAAATAGAACAATATGTTTTGCAAAGACAGAAACTGAAGGAACTGGTGAAAATAGCCTGCAGCCTAAATGTGGCATTTTGTGACTGCGTTTCTACCTGTGCTCTGAGTCTGAAGACAGATTATGCCTTTGCAAACAAAAAAACAACATGAAATATTCTATAATAGGAGATTTAGATTGATTAGAAGAAATTGCCATATTTCTATAATTCGGGAGAAAACCTGTTCTTAGGCTGACCTTCTAACCTCAATGCTGTCTTTTTACAAAACTTTACACAAAGCAACCATTCGATTTTTTTTTGTTTGTTCAGTATTTAGAGCTTTTCTGCTTTTCTTTTCACTTCCAAGCTTTACTGAGTCACCTGTTAGAAATAATGGAGCTGCAGTTAAGGGGGTCTTTGATCTTTTTGGGTAATTTCTACAGCTTTGTGTGTTAAAAAAAATACAAAGGAATTGGAGATGGGTAAATATTAAGTTTAATGATTTCCTCTTGCTTTATAAACATAAATTGATGTTGGAATGACCCAATGTGTTCATGTGAAACAGCTCAGGATGACCAGTGTACATGCTTAGATCATAAACATGGCACTCAAATCGTCTTTTTGAAGAGTTTCTTGTCATGGTGTATAAAACGTTTGTCATAACTCTTCAAGGGTTATTTGAAAAAGCTTATCCTTAACTCAAATCCATACATATGCAGTATAAAAATCCATTTTAGAAGGTAATGATTGTGAGATATTTAGAAAACAGACCAAATTAAATTACTGCTCTGTTTTCAACATTAAATACTGTGTTTCAGAAAACAAAACATTGCATTTAGATTTATACATTTTAAGTCAAACTTATTAATGTTTTTTTTTTATCTGATGATGTCTAAAGAATCTAAAGTGAGAGGCAGGATTCCCAGATAGAGAACATCTGCAACATAATGGCTGAACTACCAAAATTACTCCAAGAGGTCATCAGCGACTCATTCAAAAGGGCTAAAAAGGATCCAGGACAAAAATTTTAATGGTACATTTGACTTCACCAGAGGGATATTCATCTTTCCCATCTCAGATTATCATAACCATAACAAAAACTCTATTCAACACAATATTTTCTGCTTATAAACAGCGCTGATGTATGTCATTTTATAAACAGTGAAATTTTGTGCTTGTCTAAATGTCAAGAAAAGCTAAAAATTGCTAGCCTCGTGAGACCATCCTGATCTCGCGAGCTTTCAAGATTTCACTCGCTAATAAGTCTGGAGACTCTCCGTTAAAGAAAATTTGGAGCCGTTCACCAAACGAACGTCCAATCAGCGTTGGCTTTGAGGCGGGTTGAGGTGTGACGCAACGAGAAGCGCGACAGTTCAGTCTAAAGAACATGGCGGCTTCAGCCAATGAAACTAGCGTTAGCGTGGCTATCGAGCAAGTTTTATCGGAATTACAGAGTATTTCTTCTCTGAAAGAAGAGCAAAACACTGCTCTGGACGCTTTTCTCAGAGGAAAAGCTGTTTTTGCTCTTCTCCCGACTGGTTTCGGCAAGAGTAGCCTGGCTGTTAGTACGTCATATGCTTCGTTGATCTGATTGGTTTATTTGGCCCGTCTATCACCAACATAGGCCAATCAGCTAACCGGTATTTTCGCTCCTTCCCAAAATGACTTCAACAAAAGGTTTCCAGATGGAAATGCGGAGCAAATCCATCTGGCGGAGTCAGGTTAAAAAATTGCTAAAAAAAAGAATCCAAAGGTACATCTCACATTTAAGTTCAAGGCATTTAGGTTATAAAACTCTGACCTAAAGCAAAACAGTAAGTTCATCCCTGAAAGAGTTCAACAGGATGAAAACAAGATTATAGAATAGTCTATTCAAAGTCGAAGCTTAAATCCAGTCACTGGGGCATGATTATAAAAAGGCTTTTCATGTTTCAACATGGCTGAATTAGATTAAATCAGCAAACATCAGTTAATCCATTTCCTTCTAAACAATGGGAAAATATTTTTATCATTTTAAACACTTTATGACGAATCCCTGAAAACCCTGAAAGGTTTGGATGTTACCACTCCTTCCCCAATAAATGAACTCATATAGAAGCTGCGTTTACTGTCAGATTATCTCACATGATGTCAGATTTACTCGATCTGCAGCTTGAAAGTGTGACTGCAAAAAAAGAAAGAAAAAAAAAATCTGGAGGGCAAATATTTGTACAGGATTGTATAAGAGTTGGATTGTGACTAAATGTGTTAGATTAGTAGGAATTAAAAAGACACGAGTTATGGAAAGTTTTTGTGCTGGAGTGAAAAGTTGAGTTCTATGGAGCTTTAGTAAAAATACACAAAAAAATAATCCAACTATTTTTGGCATTTACTTAATCCTATGTTTTAACTTTAACACAATTGTTTAATGGTAGACATAAAACAATTGTGTTAAAGTAAATAAAAAGGGATTGCATAATTTTTTCAGTGTATTATTAAAAACAGATAAACCTTTTTAAAGTTAACACAGAAAAAAATATGTTTGTATTATTACTTATAATATGCTTTAGTTTATTCTCAAACCATTTCTTATTTAGGTTTATTTTAACTGTTTTAACAGATCAGAATAATCAAAATGATGAGTCAGAAGCAAATCCATCTAATTTTTTTTCACATTTTTAGAAAATGAGTGTTTAGCTATCAGCAAATGCCTTCATACTCTGATTGACAGAAATACACTTTTTAAATTAAATATTTCCATTTACATAAACAAATATATAAAGCTGACAGTTATGCATTTTTTAAGGAATCTACTTTATCGGTTTGAAAAATGTATTGAAGTTCTATTTTAACAATATAGATAAAATGTTTACATATACATTTACAATAACGTACTTTAACTGTAATTACCTTCCACTGCACTTTAATTTAGATAGCTTCTGTTTAAACTATATATAAATATATAGCTTGGACCAAATATATGCTATTGTACATAACTGTAAAAACCCTTTTTATAGTAATATCCACCTGTATATTATATTCGGTACATATCCAGCTGTAAATTTAGTTCATAACACTAGTTTTCTATATATTATATTGATCTATTAGAAAGATTCTGTTTATAATAGTATTCATCTCTATACTTATCCAGTAGAACTCATGTCCTGTATTTATGGAAACATTATTTATCCTGCACTAGGGTTGTCACGATACTAAACTTTTCAACTCGATACCGATATTAAGGAAAATATTCCATACTCGATACCATTTTTGATACCAAAAGGATAAAAACAAAGACTCCAAAATTCTACAGAAATATTTTCATTAATAAATAAAATACAATAAAGGTTGTATGCTGTGGGAAAAAAACATATAAAACTAAAATTAAGTGGTCCTTCCTTGGCTATGTTTTGCACACATAACAATGACGCTAGCCAAACCGGTTAAGAAACAAAAATAATTCTCAGCAGCTGCACCTTTTACAAAAAAGTGTGAAACTGAAAAGTGCGTAGAATTATTCAATCACACAGTGTTCTGAAAGTGCATTTTCCTCTATTCTGCACTTTAGATGAATGACTGTTTAGGTGCCACTGGTGGTGGCACTGTATCGATATTTTTAAAAACGAGTATTGTATCCGGATACAAAGTTTCAGTATCGATACTTTTTTGAGTATCGATACTTTTGACAACCCTATCCTGCACTTGCTCTTATTGCACTTCTGGTTAGACCTAAATTGCATTTTGTTGCCTTGTACCTGTACCTGTGCAATGACAATAAAGTTGAATCTAATCTAATCTAAAATGTAACTGACTTTCACTTGTCTGTGCATTATCTATCTCATGTGAAATGCATTTTTCATTCTTTTAGCAAATCATGGTTTGTTAATAATTGTTGATATAATAAACAATTAAACAGTAATGCTTTTGGTCTTACTTAGAACAGTTTTGTTATTTTTCCAGCGTTTAATTGTCATTAAACAATGTATTGTTTCAAGTAGAGCAAAGAAATTAAATCTCAGCATTTAAACCATCCCCTTGGGCAGAAGTATGCTGTTTGATAAAAGGAAAATCATCATAAAACAATATATGCTGTTATTCTCTGCTGTTATTGATTAATTGATTAATTGACTGTCAGTCCCCATCAATGATAACATGGTTTAGTAGGTGATGCACAGGTTGTTTTTAATGACAGTCTTACCTACCTATCAATGCACAGCACTGTCACTATCCCCACGGTGGTGAACTGGTTGCTGACATCCACCACCACCACCGCTTTGCACATAAAGTTTCCGAACACCCACTGCCTGTCTCTGACCAGCTGGTGGATGTTGAAGGGCATCACCAGCAGGAACAGCATGTCAGCTATGGCCAAGTTCAGCACGTAGATGTCCGACACCATCTTCTTCTTGCAAGCTGCCACCGCGTAGATCACCAGCGCGTTGGCGATGACTCCGACGGAGCACAGGATCCCGTAGATTGAGGGGAAAATGTGCATAAAGGTGGTGATGTCGATGGGACTGTAAGGCGTGGCGGTTGGAGATAAACATGACTGATCGCTTAAGTTGGATGAGGTGCTGTTATTGCAGATTACATCCGTGTCATTCATATTTAGGTCCCTTGAAAATAGGTGCGCTCTGCAGCTGGAGTCTGCTGTCCAAACTTGCGCGTAAAACTTGATCTCTGCCTTCTCAGTAGCGCGGATACCAGGAACTCCACTCGCTCGGTCGGATTTGATGTCCCAAAGTTAAGAAGTCTGAGCCAGAGTGACTGCATGAGCAACAGATGCCATGTGAGGCAGCTATGATCTGGACAACATCCGTGCGCAACTGCTCCAAACGCTGAGAGCCACAGCGGACCTTCAGTTCCCTCCCTTTTACTGATCATATGTGGGTTGTGTAACACTAGCAAATGAAAGGAAGGACTCTTTACTGGTGATCCAGCTTTGGATTCAAAGTGGGATCTACATTCATATTGTTTAAATCATTTCCACTGTTTGTTTGCTTGAAGAATAGTAAATATATAACAAAAAATGTGAGTCTATGAATACCTGGATAATATCATGTTTTTGTCTCTAATCTGGAAACAATTTAGCTTTTACTTCTTTAAAGCTGCCAAACTATTTACTGGAGATGTAGGAGAAATAAACCCAAAACTCCAGAATCTTTTTTATTTTGAATTTGAATTAATTCTCCTGGTTTTTGTTCCACTTTAGTTGAATTCTCTCCCTATTATTTTTTATTTACATCAACAGCCTTTATTTATACTTGGAACATACATCATAAAGCAGCATAAACAGAAATAACTATTAGAATAATCCTACCTTTCATTTCATAACAGAAAAGTGATAAATATTAACATCACTGTTTTCCTGAATGTAACACCAAAAACCACGTGCTGCCATTCAGACATAAGGTTTCCTCTGCTTTTCTTTTCGTTTCTGTTTCATAACATCATGCTCTCACCCCCCTTTCTAATGAAATACATAAATGGAGAATTTATTTTCAAATATAACAGATGTATCTGAAAGCGTAGCATACTATAAATATCATATAAATTTAATCATGAACTGTACACAATACTGAAATAGATTCGTTTGGAAGAAAATTATGAATTATTTCTCTATCCACACAGATTTACGTATGCAGCTTTTAGAACGAAGTTATAGTTTGGTCATCAAGTAAAACATTTTATTTCAAAGGAAAATAATTGATTGTGTGTAGATGTTACAGAGGAAGGCTGCACTGGCATCTTATACATGTAACATCACCTCTGTTCCAATTCTATGTATTTAAAGAGAATAATCTAGAGAAAATGTAAAACTGCTAATAAAAATTTTCAGCTGCTCAAAACATATTCAGTGTAAAGATTCCTTTAAAACAAAGACTTAGGTTTAAAATGATGATTATGGACCAGGACAGTCAGTGAAAAAGAATGACATTCTACCTTAAAAATCCAATCTGAAAAGTGTTTCCTAAATGTACATTTTAAATGAAATGATTAAAGAGGACCTTTAAATTGTATTTAACAATCGGTTATTAAATACTGCGACTTGAAAATTAATTTTCAAAACTATTTCTAAATGTAGATTTAAAACCCACAATTCTAAAATATAGTTATTAAAAGTTCAATTCCATTTTCTTTTTTTCACTTTGCATTTTAAAATCATGTTTGTAGTTAGATATTTTTTCATTACAGAACTAAAATTCTCTGAAAAATTCAAGGATATACAAAGGCAACAAAAAAATGAATAAATACCTGAATCTTCTGTCAGCACAATAAACATTACAATGCTCGCCTCGAGGACATCATGTATCTAGATATGCAGACTGCTTCTACAATCAATCTATAATATTTTAGTCTATAGCGTAATTAATCTGCATTGCAATCATGTTGGGGGTTTTATTTTATTTTTTCAAATAAATTTAGCTTTTTCTTAACTATTAATAAAATTAACAAATGAGAATTTTCTTAAATAATTAAATATTTTGTTGAGTATTATTAGCAACCATGGGAAGTGACAAATAGGAATTTAAATTCAAAGCCACTTTAGGAAATTAAAAGAAGAATTTTCGTCAGCATTATTATAATTTTTAATATCAATACCAAAAATAAAAAGGAAAAAAAAAGGAAAACAGTTTATCCTTCTTTCTTGATTTTACCAAGAACACTCCAGATAACCTTTACACTCTCCTCCTATTCCTGTTCACTGTATTTTCACCCTTACTAAACCACTTCAGGACATCATGAGGTTTTTTGAAGTGAATATCTTTTGAATTCCACTCAGGGAGCCTCATATCAAAAATGTGATTTTCTTTGGAGCGTCTTTAAAGGACAGGAGCCAATCTGATCGACGCAGAGCAGCAGAAAGGACTCTGCTGGGATCTCACCACAGGTCAGAGGGAATTGATGCGCTTTTTTCATCCGGGCCCACAGGTACAGTCTGTTCAAACTCTCTGGTAGATCATATCAGCTTCATCCACTGTGCAGTGTGCATGGACATGTCACTGTTTCCTCACAGGCTATGATATCTGGATTTACAGACGTAAATAACAAAAGAAATGTAGTCCGAACTATATATTTAAACGTAACTTTCACATAAAAAACAATCAGTAATTTGTATTTCACCATCTTTATCCTTGAACCTTGTACCAAGAGATTAAACCGCCATACTAACCATCAATGTTTTGCACTTTGTAAAGGTACAGCCAGACGTTTCAGTGCATTTTATGAGGATTGGACAGTAGTAGCCATTCAAAATTTCCCCATTCTCCTTGATGGGCCCTTGGCTGGTCCCCTACAATTGAGTGATTGCCTTCGAGTCAATTAGCCGCATGTCGTCATTCAATTGCTGGTTGTCTAGGTGGTGCCCTGAAAACAACGTGGGCTACATTAATAATTGGCAATCCTTTTGGGGAAAGCCTGGTCTGATTCGGAGAGACGGCATCCATCCCACTTTGGATGGTGCAGCTCTTCTTTCTAGGAATCTGGCCACATTTATTAGTCCTCCAAAACCCTGACCACCCAGGGTGCAGACCAGGAAGCAGAGTTGTAGTTTAACACACATCTCTGCAGCTTCTCTACTGTTACCCACTCTTTACTCCATCCAGACAGTGTCTTGCCCACGACCAAAATCTAATAAATTAGCAAAGATTCCCAAAGGAGTAAATCATGATAATCTAATTAAAATCAAAATAACTCCAATTGGGGAAAAAGTTAAAACAATTAAATGCGGTCTGTTTAACATAAGATCGCTTTCCTCTAAAAGTCTACTAGTTAATGACTTGATTTGTGATAATCACATTGACTTGTTTTGCCTTACAGAAACCTGGCTGCAGCAAGAGGATTATGTGAGCATAAATGAGGCAACTCCTTCAAGCTATTTAAATTTTCACATCCCCAGAAGTTCTGGGCGAGGAGGAGGAGTAGCAACAATCTTCCAGTCTGACTTACTGATTACTCCCAAAACAATTAATTCCTACAACTCTTTTGAACATTTAACCCTTAATTTCCCTGATCCAAATTTCAAGGCAAGAAAACCTCTTCTTTTTGTAACTTTGTATCGTCCACCAGGTCCTTACTCTGAATTTTTAGATGAGTTTTCAGAGTTCCTTTCTGATTTGGTATTAAATACTGACAGGGTCATCATAGTGGGAGATTTTAACATCCATGCTGACATTGAAGGCGATAGCTTAAGAGCAGCCTTTAATGCTATCTTAGACACTATTGGCTTTGTTCAAAATGTGAATAGTCCCACGCATTCTCATCTTCATACTTTGGATCTTGTGCTGACATACGGCATAGAATGTGAAGAAATAACAGTATTTCCTCACAACCCTGTCCTCTCTGACCACTTTCTAATAACCTTCAGGATTACTTTAACAGAGTTCTCCTCCCCCCAAAGAAGGTTCAATTTTAGTAGATCTTTATCAGATAGTGCAGTTATAAATTTTAAAGAATCTGCTTCACTTTCTCTCTGCTCTGTGTCACTGAGCAGTGCTGCAGAGTGCAAAAGCTTAGCTTATTCCCCTTCACAGGTTGATGATTTTGTTGAGGGGGTTGCTAGTTCTCTGCGTATTGCCTTAGACAACGCAGCTCCTTTGAAAATGAAAACCGTTAAAAATAGAAAGCTTGCTCCTTGGTTTAATGCAGAGCTGCGTACTTTGAAGCAAAATGCTAGGAAACTGGAGAGAAAATATCGCTCCACAGGCCTGCGAGAGTCCTTCCTAGTCTGGAAAAATGGTTTACTGCTGTATAAGAGGACCCTTTGTAAAGCAAGAGCAGCATACTTCTCCTCATTAATAGAGGAGAATAAGAATAATCCTAGATTTCTTTTTAATACAGTTGCCAAACTCACCCAGAGCCATAGCTCTGTTGAACCGTCCATTCCACCTGCTCTTAGCAGCAATGATTTTATGGGATTCTTTATAAATAAGATTGATCTTATTAAAAATAAGATCATAAGCACTCCTCTATCCGCGATTGTACCTGAGGTAGTCATGGAATCTGAACCGGGTTTAGACTGCTTTGATCCAGTTGAACTCTCTGAATTAGCAAAATTATTGTCTTCATCTAAGCCTTCAACTTGTATGTTAGATCCAGTTCCAACCAGGTTATTTAAGGAGGTATTCCCTTTGATTTCATCCTCCATTTTAGATGTGATTAATCTATCTCTGTTACAGGGATATGTACCTAAAGCTTTTAAGATTGCTGTAATTAAACCTCTGCTTAAGAAACCGTCTCTTGACCCAGATGACTTGGTCAATTATAGACCTATATCCAATCTTCCTTTCTTATCCAAAATTCTTGAGAAAGTAGTTGCCAAACAAGTTTGCGATCACTTCCACCATAATGAACTTTTTGAAGAGTTTCAGTCTGGCTTTAGAGCTCATCATAGCACTGAAACAGCTCTGGTGAAAGTCACTAATGATATTCTCATGGCCTCAGATAATGGACTTGTATCTGTGCTCGTCCTGTTGGATCTTAGTGCTGCATTTGATACAGTTGACCATAATATTCTTTTAGAAAGACTTGAATATTTTGTTGGAATTAAAGGAACAGCACTAGACTGGTTTAAATCTTATCTATCTGATCGAATTCAGTTTGTTCATGTTAATGATAGATCTTCAACACGCTCAAAGGTTACCTGTGGAGTACCACAGGGATCAGTGCTAGGACCAATTCTCTTTACTTTATACATGCTCCCAATTGGTAGAATTATTAGACAGCATGGGATTAATTTCCACTGTTATGCTGATGATACCCAGCTATATCTGTCTATAAATCCAGATGAAGCTAACCCATTACATAGATTACAGGCATGTCTTGAAGACATAAAAACCTGGATGACTCTTAACTTT